GACGGGTGCGCAACGTTGACGTTGCGTGCCCAGGGACAAAATACTCCTCTGCTACCCTGAACCCTCGCTCCACTTCTAGTAAGCAGCGCAAATTGGGTCTGGGTGACCGCTCAGTCCGCCCCTGGGTGATAGTGAAGGGGGATACTGGAGTGAGTGGGTATACTGGGTGGGGGTGATAGTGAAGGGGATACTAGGAGGGAGGGGGTAATGGTGGTGAATGGGGGGGGGAAATAAATACCTTATTTAACTCCCTGGTGGTCCAGTGTCCTTCATTCCCTGGTGGTCCAGTGGTGATGTCTGCAGTTCCGCATTGTGCAGAACTGCAGACCATGTATCTTGCGAGACCCAGTCAGAGTGTTGCCGTAGTAACCCGTGGCAATGCTCTGATTGGTCAGATCTCGCAAGACACATGGTCTGCAGCTCTGCACACTGCGGAGCTGCAGACAATCTCCGGCTTGGCAGCCTGGAGAGGCTTCGCACCCGGGGCATATCGGGTAAGACGCCAGGCCCCCTAGTCTGCCCTAAGGCAGTTTAGACATCCGCAAGGACCTAGACAGCGCAAGGCCTTAGGCAGTCGCCTAAGCAGAGAGCTGCCTCTGACTGCTAATGTCTTGGTGCCAAATAGCACAGGACACGTTCATGTTGGGGCCATGCCTCTATGCATTAGAGCTGTTTTAGCAGAACTAGGCAGGTGGTTTTATTATTGTGGCTGATCAGTATACAAACTAATGTAAACTGAATCAATACAAATGTTACTGAAATTGTTCTTAGTAATGGTTGCGTAAGTATTACAGTGCTTCTCCCATCACTGCTCTTCAAATGGTCTTAAGACCGGCTGAAATTTGTTTCACCACTCCTATAACGGCAAAAACAGAGAATGTGAGAAATCTGTAAATGGTCAGAAGCTCAGAGGAACCAGAATAGCTTGCGATATAGTTAGGTCCGGTTAAGTGTAAAAAAATTCACTTGTGCCATTACAACATCCAGGTTTCAACAAATTGATGGAATTGTAAATTATACGTCTGCACTATATCCACTACAGGTAGATGAAGGGGCAGCGGAAGTTAGAGTGATCCTTTAATTCAAAGAGGATGCAAGGGCCCTATTCCACCTCCTTGTTTCTGATTTGCACATTTTCTTTTTCAAGTTATGTTAACTATATTTTTGCTGCTAGGAGGTTCAGCATAAGGTTAAAGAAAATATGAAGCCTTTACATATAATTCACAGTTTACAGTTAAACTAATAACAGGATGGACACAGTGTAGATATTGTAGACAAAATAGAAAGAGTTGTATAAAACTTAAAACATTTGCATAAGTAGGCATGAAAACCAGACTATATAATACATAGGTGTCATAGTGCAGAACACCATATGTGGTTTACCATAATTTTATAAAAAGCATCAGTGAGGACTTCCATTCAACTTAGAAAACATCTAGTTTTCGAAAGAGAGAGAAAACCAACTTATAGGCATACATCGGTAACACGCAGGTCACACTATAACGTTATTAGCATTCATAATGTTGGACTCGAAGGTCCTATAGCTTATGTACATTGGGATAGTACCATTGAGTGCCTGTTGGAATTGGCATTTATGATCCCCCTTCTATGTGTAAATAGTGGGTTTGCTTTGTCTCTCGGCTCCTATAATGGGTGGTCTGTAGATCAGAAGCTGTGGATCCCGAAGCTCAGGAAGTCTCAGATGGTGAGTGCGGCGACCATACTCATTTTAAAGAATTTTTGGCAAGACAATATAAAAAGTATATTCTACATGTATAATCTTTTGAAAAGGCTGCTAAACTACATGAATGAAATTAACTGCTCATCAAAGCTAAAAATATGTCATAGCATTTGTCCACGCACAGATCACATCTTTTGTTTTCAGAGACATTGTTATAGTTTAAAAAACAAAATAAAATTGTCCTGACAACATATAATTTAATTTCATTTTTCATATAAAACAGCTCATGATGGACTTTTGTGTTTCTACAAATTGTCATAAATATTAAAGTAACACTTAAAGCACTATAGCACATCACAGTGGTTACGGTGCTTGAAGTGCCCCGGCTCTCCCATAATAAAGTTAGTCAAACCATTTTAGTATGCTTTGACTAATTACTTGGCATTTACTGGGCACCAAAGAGTCCTCAGATAATATATATATATATATATATATATATATATATATATACATACACACACACACACACATACACACACACAGGGCCGGACTGGCCCACCGGGATACCGGGAAATTTCCCGGTGGGCCGTCAGCACCTGGGGCCGGGCAGACACCTGGGTCTGCTGGCGGCCGCTGGGGAGGTCTTCTGGGGTCTTCTGGCGGCCGCTGGGGGACTTGTCTTGGCAACCGCTGGGGGAGCCGAGCTGGCTCTGCTCCCCAGCGCGCAGCTGAATGAGACTGGCGCCGGAATACGACGTCATATTCCGGCACCGGTCTCATTCAGCAGCCCGCGAGGGCAGGAGAGCAGAGCCAGCTCAGCTCCCCCAGCGGCCGCCAGGACAAGTCCCCCAGAGGCCGCCAGAAGACCTCCCCCTGGCAGGTATTAGTAATGTGTCTGTCTGTCTGTGTTATGGTGTCTGTCTGTCTGTATGGTGTCTGTATGTATGGTGTGTGTGTGTGTCTGTCTGTCTGTCTGTATGTATGTATGGTGTGTGTGTGTCTGACTGTGTCATGGTGTCTGTCTGTCCGTCATGGGGTGTGTGTCTGTCTGTCCGTCATGGGGTGTTTGTGTCTGTCTGTCCGTCCTGGGGTGTGTGTCTGTCTGTCCGTCATGGTGTGTGTGTGTCTGTCTGTGTCATGGTCTGTCATGGTGTGTGTGTGTCTCTATCATGGGGTGTGTATCTGTCATGGTATATGTGTGTTTCTGTGTCTGTCATGGTGTAAATGTGTGTTTAAAAATAGTGTTTTTGCTCACCTTTTTTTCCCCACGCAGCGTGTTGGTCTCCCCTCGACTGGCCCTGCCTCTATAGCTGAGATCATCAAGCTTGATGATCTCAGCCAATTCAATGCTTTGCCATAGGATTGGCTGCAAAACGCCACTCCAATCAGCATCTCCTCATAGAGATGCATTGAATCAATGTATCTCTATGGGGAACGTTCAACACGGAGGCCTTGAATGTAGGAGGCCTTGAATGTAGGTGCACTAACACAGGAGGCACCTCTAGTAAGCTGTGTGTGTGCGCGTCTGCTAGTGAGTGAGCTTGTGTTTTTATATCAATGAGCTGATGTATATCAGTAAGATTGTTTGTCTATGAGGCTGTGTATCAATGAGCTTGTGTGTGTCATTGAGATGTCAGTGAAATTGCCTGTATCTGCATGTGAGTATGCTTACTGTATAATTAAACATTTTACCCTGAAAGGACCAATATTTTATATTAGAAAAAGCAATATTATATATATATATATATATATATATAACTCAATCATCTGTCCTGGCCAGACATAGCCTTACATATTACACGCAACAATATATAGCGCAGTGACTTATGGGGCTGGCACAAATTTTTTTCCAGGGCTGCTTTGTATCCCCAGTCCGGCCCTGTGTGTATATATGTATATATATATATATATATATCTCTATATACATACACACACACACATACAGTGTGTGTGGGGGGGATGTTGCCAAATTTGGTATTCTGACAATGCTTTTCAAAAACAATCCAATATGGCCACCAGCCATGTTACCTATGAATTTCTTTTGAACAAATCTGAATCCAATCCAATATTAAACACCGAAGGGGCCCAAGGTTGAAGGGGTACAGCCCACAGCTGATTTCTGGTCACTGGTCCTTTTGGATCCCGATCCATGCTATGGTTTAAAAAAAAGCGGTGTTTAAAACACCATTCACTGCTACGACCATCTGCAGAAAATTAGGATTAAGCCTGTCTGTGGATCTGAGATAGTTGTGGAAAAATCATTTCTTGAGTTTCTGCGCCCAATGGGGATTTTGTGAACTTCAACTTGAGAATTGCAGCTGATGCACAACAGAAATAATTTTATCTTGCTATACATTATTAATGAAAGCGCAAAATTAAGAAGAATCTTTTTTATTAACTTTGATATTTCAGTTTTTATTAGATAGTTTCCTAACTTGAAAAAAATGGGTCTCCGAATTTCAGAAATATTCGGCAGTACTTAGTTTATCTGAATCAATATTTCGGACAAACAAATGATAAAATTTACTAATTTTGCATGCAGGTGATGCACAACAATATTTTTTCCAATTGCACTTTGGGGAGTTTTATTGTGTTTGGTCTCTCTACAAATGTTTGGCACCTAACTACATATCTATAGTGTTTCTGTTTAGGAGAGACCGTCCCTATTTTGGGCCTTTGTCTCTAATAATGACTGTCAAATCCCTTTGTCCCTCTTTTCTATCTTAAAGGACCACTATAGGCACCCAGACCACTTCAGCTTAATGAAGTGGTCTGGGTGCCTGGTCCAGCTAGGTTTAACCCCTTTTTTCTATAAACATAGCAGTTTCAGAGAAACTGCTATGTTTATATTAGGGTTAATCCAGCCTCTAGTGACTGTCTCGTTGACAGCCGCTAGAGGCGTTTGCGTTCTTCTCACTGTGAAAATCACCGTGAGAAGACGCCAGCGTCAATAGGAAAGCATTGTGAATGCTTTCCTATGAGACTGGCTGAATGCAGCGCATGCGCATTCAGCCGAGGAGGAGGAGAGGAGGCGGAGAGTCCCCCTCCAGGCGCTGGAAAAAGAGGTAAGTTTAACCCCTTCCACCCCCTAGAGGCCAGTGGAGGGGAACTCTGTGGGTTGGGGGTACCCTCAGGGCCCTATAGTGTCAGGAAAACGAGTATGTTTTCCTGGCACTTTAGTGGTCCTTTAATTAAATTAGAAGCATCTAGTTTTAAATTACATTTAGTAGCATAAATGGGTATTTGTAAGTAAAAAAATAAATAAAAAAAAATCATAATAGTCCCGCCTCTGGCCACACCCCACTAACACCCATAAAATGAAATTGTTACTTTAACTTCCATGGAAGAAGTGGAGCCATGGTGGTGAAGCCTACAAGGAGAGCCAGTGCAACCATAAGGCAGTCTCCAGGTGATTGTTAGGAGGGGAGTGCACAGAACACAATGCTACCCTCGTGCCAGTCCTGACACACAGAAGTTCTGGTGGGACACAATAAGACACACAGAAGGGCTGGGGGGGTTACAAAGATACAAAAAGGGTTTGAGGGAAGAGATACAGAAAAGGACATAGAGTGGGTTAGGAAGGGGAGAAAGACACAATGTGTGGGGCACACACACAGAGAAGCTTGGGAAGGGAAAAAGACACATGTGAATTTGAGGGAGTAAGATACACACAGAGGGGCTGGGGGAAAGTAAGAGACACCAAAGGAGCTAGAGAAAGAAAAAGACAAGAGTGAGTTTAAGAGACACACAAGGAGGTGTAAGACACACACAGGGCCGGTGCGTCTTATAGGCACACCGGCCCAGGGGGTGCAAGAGGGGCTGGTAGGGGAGACAGACACTCAGAGGGGCTCAGGAGAGAGATGCACAGAGTCACTTGTGAGGGAGACACACAGAGGAGCCTGGGGAAAAAAGAAACACACAAAGAAGCTGGGAAGAGTAAGACATACAAAGGCGGGTAAGAGACACACAAGAGACTTGTAAGAGATAAACTAAAGGGGGTGTAAGACACAAAACAAAGAAAAAAATCTATACAAAGAAGTATATTAACAAAAAAAATATAACAATAAAGAGCTGCTCCCCTCGCAGCCCCTACCCTACCCTACCCCACCACACAAACCTCAATTTCACACTACACACGTACAAAATGCATCCTTACACATACACAGAAACACACAATGCATCCATTACACACACAATGCATCCCTTACATACAAAAACACACAATGCATCCATTACACACACAATGCATCCCTTACATACAAAAACACACAATGCATCCCTTATGCACACATAGAAACAAAATGCATCTTACACACACGTAATGCACCCCTTACAGACACATACACTGCATTACATTACATACACAGAAACACACCTTGCATTCCTTACACATACAAACACAGATTCACATAATGCATCCCTTGCACACACACCCCCAGAAAACACACAATACATTCCTTACACACAAGCACACACTACATACCTTACATAAATTGGTATCCATATACACTACATTCCATAAGAACACACACATTCCATTATCTACAGTTACGCACAACACATCCCCTACACACATACACTCCACTCCCTGTGAGCAAACTCATGGGTGGGCCATGTAGGTGGACTTATGGGCGGGCCTTGGAGGCATACTCACAGTCAGGCCCTGGGGGCCCAGACATTGAGCTGTGTAAGGGACCCCCCAAAAAATGGAGCTGCTTCCCTTTTCGTTGATTTTTGTGAGCACTGTTACAAACAGTTAAAACAGAGAGCCTGTTTTAACACCAGGTAAGTGGAGCCAAACTGCAGCCTGAGCCCATCATCATCCGCTTGTCCTCATCTGGTGATAGCTAGGCAATCCAATATATTGTTAGTGGTACTAATCTCTAATTTACCTCACATTAAAGGGACACTATAGACCGCAGAACCACTACAGCATAATGTAGTGGTTCTGGTGTCTATAGTCCGTCCCTGCAGGCTTTTTAATGTAAACACACTGTCTTTTTAGATAAAAGACACTGTGTGCCGAACTAGCGTTGGCTCATATGGCAGATCATATGGGTGGGGCATTGTGATGTCACATGGTGGGCAGAGCATATGGGGGGGGCAGCAATTTTTTTTTGTTGGATAGGATAACGAAGGTGTAAGGCACGAAAGGGGGATAAGATACACAAAAGAGGTAAGAAATTCAAAAGACATACAGGTGAAGATGCATTTGGGATTGGGTCTGCAAAATGCATCCCTGCCTGCGTAGCCAAAAATCCTTGCACCGGCCCTGCCTACAAGCCCGCAACTGTACAGTAAATGGCTGATTTGTGGTCACTGGTGCTTTTGGATCACAACCAGTGCTATGACTTTAAAAAAGCGGAGTTTAAAAAGCGCATCCATTGCTAATGGCCACTGCAGAAACACAGGGTAAAATCTGAAACACAAGGCCTATATGGGTGTTCTATCAAATTTCCCTACCCCGTTAGAAAACCCTACCCTCGTCACTTCCGGTGACGAAGCCGCACCGGAAGTGACGTTGGGACGGGGGTGTGCGCAGCCGCGCAGGCGCACACCACCTAGGTAGGGACTTTGAACAGCGAGGAGTCGCATAAAGGCGCAGTGCGCACGCGCGCCAAACTACTCCCGTCGGAGGTACAGCGCGCGTGCGCACTTGGGGACAGGGAGAGCTTCACAGACAGCGCGCATGCGCACTATAGGGGTAGGGAAATCTGATGGCGATTAAGCCCTGTGAAATCTCCCTACCCCTATACTGCGCATGCGCGGACTGGACTCTGATCGTCTGAGTAAAGCTTCTCCCTGCTCCCAACACACTCAGCCATCCAAGGGGAGGGGGTACTATATTAGGGGGGGTTTCAGTGCATTATATTGGGGAGTGGGGGTTTTCTACATTATTGTATGGGGGGTCTGCGCTGTATGGGGGGTCTGCGCAGTATATTGGGGGTATGCTGTATGGGTGTCTGCGCTGTATGGGGGGTCTGCGCTATATGGGGGGTCTGCGCTATATGGGGGGTCTGCGCTGTATAGGGGGTTGCGCTGTATAGGGGGGTTGCGCTGTACATAGGGGTCTGCGCTTTATGGGGGTCTGCGCAGTATATGGGGGGTCTG